AACTACCCTAAAATGATTTTTTTCAAAAAAGTTCAAAACATTAAAAGTGTTCAAAATAATGTTTTATTTTAATTTACAAAAAATCAATGAAAATAAGCTCGTTTCATAGGTTAAGACAGCATCTAAAGTTTGCATTGCTAAAATGAATAAAAACTATTGTAACCAAGATCATTCGATTATAAGTTCTAATTGATTTTTTTAGTAAAAAGTTATCTAGAATTACGTATACATGTCTTTGTCTAAATTTTGTAATTTATCGAGGTCGTTTACTATTTTTTGAGATGTACAAATCAATACAATTAAACTACACCAATAAACTCGTATTTAATGTTTTGTACTTTAACTCCACCACTTCGGCCCTTCACTTTTAGCCTACACATATATCTCATGTGCCTCCTGTATGCCTAACATTGCTCTGAAGCCAAACTTGCACGGGAATATCATCCCGAGTTTGACCCACACTCCCCGAGCGGTTAGCATATACGTACGTGCGTAAATCAAAGCACTCATCTACTCTTGAGAACGAGGCAACAATATATATATACACAACCCTTATCTACTCATAAGAACAAATATAACAATACCGAGCCTAAGGCATTCAAATCAATCTCATAATCCTCATTTTTTTTTATACATTTTTTCTCACCAACACTCAAATAAAATAACAATTCCTGGAGTCATGGTGGAATATTCAAAATTTATCTATGCATTCCTAGTTTATTTTAATTTCACATATCCATGAGTGTGATTACAACCATAAAATAAATATATATAAAAACCCTAAACCTTGCATACACAACTAACCAAAATAATTGAAATCAATCCATCATTTTTATGCCAATACAATATCAAACCAACATCAAATAAATACAAACAACGAAATAAACATAAATTAAGGAAAGTAGGTTTTGCACTCATAATTATTTTTCAAAAATTAAAAAAATACTTAGAGAATTAATAAAATCACCAAAATAAAACCCTAATCTTTTTTTTCCTCTCCTCTCCTCCCTCTCGGCTACTGCTCTCTAATTTTTTTTTTTTCTTCTTTTTCTTTTCCATTTCCTAATGACAGTCATATTACAACATAAATACAACGTACATCAATATGATATATATTTTATCAACATATAAAACACTTTTTTTATATATTATATATAAATATTTAAATATTTAAATTAATTATACATAATTAAATATCACATTAAATTAATTAAATATCACATTAAATTCTTATGTATCCACATAATTAATAAAGTCAAAAATAAAATAAAATAAAGTAGTAATAACAATAATAAATAATGACTTAAGAAAAAATTAGGGTCGTTACAGTTTATTTCATTTTCTTATTTCCTTTGTTGTATAATATATATAAAAAAATAAATGATAAAAAAAAACGGTGGAGATGAGACCAGATGCATCATGTGGATTAAGTTTGTTCATATTTTAAATAAAATAAATAAATATTAATTTTGGTCCTTATATTTTTAATTATATCAATTGTAACTTGTAATTTTTAATTTTGTATCAATTTAGTCCAATTAATAATGCCGTTAGTGTTTTTGATGAAAAGTAATCACTGAATTTGTTAAGGTTAACTCAATGAGTTGAGCAAATTTATTATTTTACCTCTAAAAAGAATGACACATGTCACTTCTATGCATATTTGTCATTAAAAAATACTAACAATTAGGGCTAATTACATTATTAGTCCCTCTATTTTGGCTATTATGTCATTTTTGTAATTTCAATTGAATTGATTTGAACCTTGAATTTTTATTTTGTCTCAAATTGGTCCAATTGATAGCATTTTTTTATGACAAATGCAACCTGTTATCATTTTAGGAGTAAAACAAAATATTTGGTCAATTCAGTGATTTAACCTTAACCAATTCAATAAAAAAAAAAATATTAAAGACCCTAAAGATGTTATCAATTCGACTAAATTGACATAAAATCTAAAATTAAGTGTCAGAATTGAGTCAGTTAAAACTATATGGAACAACAAAATGTAATGATTATTTATGTAATTTACTCAACAATTATAAGCAATTGAAATAAATTGAGATAAATCCGTAAAGTCAAAGTCAAAATCGAGTTAATTGAAACTACATAAACTAAAATTCAAGAAACTTTATCATTGTACAGGAGAGCAATTTGAAATTTTATTTTTTCTATTAAATCTTGTAAAGTCGTTGATCAATTTTGTACATGTGGCAAGTACAATTAAACAAATATGTTATATTGAGTTTAATTTATTTGTTTTTATTTATCTTGTACATTTTAAAATTTTTGAAAATACATTGGCATTTTTTTGTTTTTTCAAAAAATGTCATTAGATAGCTTGAAAAGTTTTTGGCTTAGTGGCATTTATCAAAATACTATAAAATATTTGTTATGATACTTTTCACCTAATGCGATAAAAAGTAACTTGCACCTACCTAATTTAGTGACATCTGTTGATAAATGTTACTAAAACAATTTATTGTGTCATTTTTTTATAAAATGTGAATGTCATAAAATTGATGTGACATTTCTTTATTGAAATGTCACTAGAGCATTATATGTTTGTGGTTCTATGGATTTTTCTAAAATGTGTCATTAAATATTATTTTTGTGACATTTTCTAAAAACATGTCTCTAGTGTAGTGCCATTAAAGTGTGTTTTTTGTTGTAGTACGTGTATAGTTTTTACTTTTCCTCTTTTGTCTCTTACTTTTTTATTTTCTCACTCACCCTTCCATAATCCCATGAATTATCCCACGATCCTACATTCCTCATTTTCTTTTAATTTTTTTTTATTTTCTTCCATTTTTTATTTTCCTCTTCATTTATTTAATTTTTTTCTCATTTTTATTCACTTATTTTTATTTACACCGTACATTCTGGCATAGGTATACACTAATAATTAATATTTTGAAACGGAAAAAGTATGCTTCAAATACACTATTTATAATCTAGATTAACCAATCAAATCCATTATAAATCGACATTTCAATTTTTAAAACTTTATTATGAGAGAAATATCTTGAGTTTACTACAACCAGACTTCCAATTAATTGATGGTTAGTATAGTTTCTGGTTAACAATAATAATTAAAAAAAATAAATACTAACATTTTTAATCATTTTGGTTTTATTAGGTGATGTGATGTATAATCCAATCGGATCAGAAGTCAAACTGGTTGGAGGGAAGGTTATTTATGTGCTTTTTTTTTTAATTTTAAAACCCCAGACCAAAGGTATCAGTCATCACATAATTTTTTATAAATTAAAATTTAATAATTAAAAAATAAAAGTTAAAAATACTTTTATCTTAAATAATTATTATTTTTAATTTACTTAATTATTTTTACTTAATAAATTATAAATAAAAACTGAACTAAGCAGTTGTCAAATACCAAACAGGCCCACTTTCCTCTTCCATCATAATAATAATAATAATTATTATTATTTTTAAGTAATTCCACACTAAATGACGTCACTAAAGTAGCTTTGAACACGGTCAAACAGAGGGAGTGGTCAAATTGACCGTGTAAATTAAGCCCATTAATGTCCTCCTAAATTGACCCACATATTTTTCCAAAAACAAAAAATGTATTGAATACAAAAAACCAATTTTTAAGATTTTAATCAGAAAAAAATTTATGTATTTAAAGAGGGGGATTGAATTGCTAATGTATGTGGGGGTCTATCATAAGAATAATGGGCCGATATTAGATTGAAGGGTCCAATTCAAAGTTGTGGACATATTTGATAAAAAAATTAATCAATTTTTAATATCTAATAAGTAAATTATTTTGTATAAAAAATTATGTTGATCAGGTATTTATAATCACGAGATTGAATCATTTTGATTCCAAAAAAATAAATAATAATACCAACCTTATAAATTTTTTTTTAAAACAAAATAAATCCACCACTGTTTAATTCAATCCTCTAATCCAGTTAGTGGAGGGAAAGAAAGCTGATTCCTTATGGAAACTGTAATTTTTTAGTATTATATCACAACATAAATGGATAAACCTTCGGTGGTTACTTATAAAAAAAACTGCAATATTTATGATTCTTGTAAATATATTTATCTAAATTTTTAAGGAACAAATATCTTCAAATTCCAAATCTAGTTTGGGAAGACTAAATAAGTGCACTTTTTGACTTTTTTTTGTATTTTGTGTAAAAAAAGTAGAGAGGAGATGTTGATTGATGTGACCTAAAAACGATAAAAAGATGAAATAAGTGCACTTTTTTAGCAGTAGCCAAACTTGGCCTAAATCTAAACTAAATGGTATTATTTGAATCCGTCATCATAGTTCTTGTTTTTATAATATAAATAGTTTAGTTATACTATTATTCATATATATTATTCAAACAAAAAATTGAAAGTCAATTTGATAATTATAAATTGTTCAATTTATTATATTTATCTACAAAAAAAAAAGGTAAATGTATTTTTAAAAATATATCATTAATTTTTTTGTAACTTATCTAAAAAAAAAAGAAGGTAAATGTATTTTTAAAAATATATCATTAATTTTTTTGTAACAAACATAAATAATTAAATAGATTATAATTATCAAATTGATCTAATTTTTTTATAAATAATTTATATAAAAATTATTACAAAATAAATAATTTAAATTATCAAATATGAGTCATAATGGCGCCATATAATCACAAAATCTTATCTTACAATGTCACGTGATTAATAGTAAATTTTTTCCAAAAAATATGTATGACGTCATATACTTAATTAAAAATCAATATTTCCAAACACGCTAAAACGTGGATTAAGATTGTAAATTACAAGTCAAAATTAATGCATAATAAAATTTTCAATTCCAAGATTGTCGGTTTCTGAGAAATAGGGAAAGCAAAGATCGCTAAAAACGTTTTATTTTCCTAAGCTTAATCCATTTAATTATTTTTCAACTCAACCAAAACGGCCTTTAACTCAACCACTTAACCACAGTCAAACACAAACCAAACACGAGTTAAGCTCAACCCTAGGCTCCTCAGCCCTACTATATAAACCCCAGCTCCACGGCGCTTTAGCTTTTCCCTGTCTCGTGCCTTTTTGTTTCGTTGCTTTTTGGCTTGAGTTTGAAGCAGTGCTGCTGTGAAAGCTTCGCTCCAAAGCTTCCGATTTTCTGGTAAGTTTTGTTTTTGTTTTTTGTTTTTGTTTTTTTACCCTCTTTGATTCTGAATCGTTTTCGTTCTCGTTTTCAATCTCTCTTTGCTCATTTTGTGTTTTTGTTCTTATTGATTGATCTAAAGTTTTTTGGTGAATGGAGCTTCGATTCGTTTCTCGAAAGAACTTTATTCTCTGTTGCTTTTTAGTGGAGAGATAGAGAGAGTCTGAGAGATTTTTATTTATTATTCATATATTTATAATGGAATTCTGAAACTTTCAGTAAAAAAAATTGGCGATTTGAAATTGTAAATTGTTGAAAATTTTCTCCAAATCGAGCCTTGAAATTATATTATGTGCTTATGCGAGTTTGTTTTGTGCAACAGCATTACAAGTTCTGATTTTTTTATACAATATACATACATATCGTTTTCCTGAACAAAAACTGCTCTGTTTGTGTAGTTTCAGAATTTTTTTTTTTTTTGAAATTTGATTTTATTTCACAAAAGCCTAGTTTTTAGTGTTTTTGATTTTTTTTCGTAAATCAGAGAAATTTTGAAGTTTTGGAAAATAATTATGTTATTCCTTGATTTTTGGACGGTTAAAATTGCCAATTGTTGAAGAGTTTCGCAGTGTTTGTATAACTTAATTGATTCTGTGATTAATTTTTCTGTATTTTTGCTTGAAGATGCCGAGCATGAACTCCGATCCAGCCGATCGGGACTCGGAGCCATTCGTGGAGGTTGATCCGACCGGCCGATACGGCCGGTACGGTGAGCTACTCGGTTGCGGCGCAGTGAAGAAAGTATACAGAGCGTTTGATCAAGAGGAAGGTATAGAGGTGGCTTGGAACCAGGTCAAATTGCGAAATTTCTGCGATGATCAAGCAACAATCGATCGGCTATACTCGGAGGTTCGGTTGCTGAGAACTCTGAAGAACAAGAACATCATTGCTCTGTACAATGTGTGGAGAGACGAAGAGCGTAACACTCTCAACTTCATTACCGAAGTGTGTACTTCTGGTAATCTGAGAGAGTACCGAAAGAAGCACAAACATGTCTCGATGAAGGCTTTGAAGAAATGGTCCAAACAGATTCTCAAGGGTTTGAACTATTTGCATACTCATGATCCGTGTATCATTCACAGAGATCTCAATTGCAGCAACGTGTTCATCAATGGCAACATCGGTCAGGTATGCTCTTTTTTCTAAATTGTGAATTGTTTGCATAAAAATGGTGTTTTTATAGCATTGATTTTCTGAATTTTGAATTGATATCTTGAATGCGCTTAATAAATAGGTGAAAATCGGTGATTTGGGATTGGCTGCAATAGTTGGGAAGAGCCACTCTGCACATTCGATACTCGGGACACCAGAATTCATGGCACCAGAGCTATACGATGAGGATTACACCGAACTGATTGATATCTATTCATTTGGGATGTGCGTGCTCGAGATGGTGACTCTTGAATTACCTTACAGCGAGTGCGATAGCGTTGCCAAGATATACAAGAAAGTAACTTCTGGTGTGAGGCCTCGAGCAATGGACAAAGTTAGGGACCCTGAGGTGAAGGCATTCATCGAGAAGTGTCTTGCTCAGCCGAGGGCTAGGCCTTCCGCGGCTGATCTCCTTAAAGACCCATTCTTCGATGGGATCTACCTTGATGATGACGAAAATGACAATGATATAGCATGCTAACAGTAGATGAGTTTGATTTTGTTTTTGATTTTCCCAACTTGCTTTCTTTTGAATTGTTGATGATTTTGGAGGGTTGCAGGGGGGGTTGTGGCCGGGTGTGGATTTTTTAGATGCTTGGTTTCAATTTTGTTTTTTTGCTTTTCAAGGTTTTGGATTTGGATTAAAAGTTGTTGATAATGATAAGCATGGAATTGAGGAAAATCTGGGGGAGTGAAAATGCAAGGGGGGGTCTTTGTTTGATGTAAATAGACAATTTGGTCACACAAATATTAAAAATTTGTTAAGAAGATTGTATGTGAAGCTGGTTTTGCGTGGAATCTGGTTATATCAAATCCCTGTGGTGTATTTGACTCCAAGGTTGTTGGCATTTCATTCGAGTATAATATTTGATTGGAGGAGAGTCCGAATTGTAAGAGCATGATTGGTTTACTTTTATGTTTGATAGTTTATGTATTTATTTATTTATTTGGGGTTTATTTCGTCTTAAAAAAATTATAAACAATTTATAGAAAAAAATTCAATATTCTTTTACAATACAAAAAAGTTTATTACAAATGTTTTAATTCATTCATTCTCTTTCACCCTTTATGGTTTGTAATAATCTGATTTCCCCCACTTTCAAATGCCATTACATTCGACTTTCATCATTTATCACCTTTTACACACTTCTCAGGGTTAGTTTGGTTTTTTTTTTTTTTTTTTTTCAGTTTTTTTAATTATTATTTTAGTCTGGATCATTTATTTTAGTTTTTTTTTAATTTTTTTTAAGAAAAAAAATGAAATGATTATAATTTAATGTGCTATTTTATCTTATTGACTTTTTAATCTATTTTATTTTTTTATAACTATTTTAATCCAAATGTGATATGTCAAACGAGTACTCAATAGTAAACAATAGTCATAAATTTTTTGTTAACATTTGTCATAATTATATATATAATTAATTACCTAAAAGTCTGTTATGGTAGCTCAAGGTCCTATTTAAATTTTTTTTTGTATTAATAAGTCCTATTTAATAAAAGTGAGAATATTATCAAAATTTTTTAATTTTTAAAATTAAGAATATTATCAATTTTACATAGTAATTTTCTAGATAAATGAAAAAAAAAATCGAGTATGAGATTAAATGTTTTTATCCTTCTACTTATTAGTTTGATTTAATTATCCAAAAAAACTGAGAATATTATCAGTTTTTTCCAGTTTTAAAATTGAGAACATTATCAGTTTTTTTATTTTTAATTTTTCTTTTCAGTTTTGCATATCAATGTTCCATCATTATATTCTTTTATAGACACAAAATTTTCAGTTTTGCATAAAAAAATAATTTCGTTTTTTTTTTACACATAATTTTTGTTTTAATTTTTTTAATTTGAAAGTTGATGTTTTAAAGTTTTGAAAATCAAAATAAATGTTAAATCATTATGTTCTTTTCTAGACAATTATAAATGATGAACAATCATTATTTGAATAACAATTTCGACCATTAAAATTTTAATGAGACTTAAAGATCGAAAAAATCTTAAATCTTAATTAGGAGTATGGATTGGTTTGGAATGTTCTAAATAAATGTATTTTTTAAATTTTTATAAAAAGATGTTTAAAAAAGTAAAAAGAAAATATTGATTAATATGATCTAAATAAATGTACTTATACAAGAAAATAACTTATATAATTTAACCCAAACAAGGCTGATTTGTGTGTATATGTCCTTTTATATTTATATATATATATATATATATATATATATCTAATAGAAATTGTAAATGTATTGAAAGTTGATGTTTTAAAGTTTTGAAAATCAAAATAAATGTTAAATCATTATGTTCTTTTCTAGACAATCATAAATGATAAGCAATCATTGTTTGATGGGCAATTTCGACCATTAAAATTTTAATGAGACTTAAAGATCGAAAAAGATCTTAAATCTTAGTTAGGAGTATGGATTGGTGTAGAATGTTCTAAATAAATACATTTTTTTAATTTTTATAAAAAGATGTTTAAAAAAATAAATAGAAGATGTTGATTGATATGATCTAAATAAATGTAGTTATGCAAGAAAATACACTTACATAATTTAACCCAAGGCTGATTTGTGTGTAAATGTCCTTTTATTTTTTATATTTATATATATATATATATATATATCTAATAGCAATGGTAAATGTACGAATTTGGAGTGAAGTCAAAGCAAAGAAAAGTCAAAGCGTGGAATGGGTTAAAATGATGATGTGTGCCAGCTTTGAGATTGACGACCCGGCCCATACAAAAGAACTTGTTGAATGTTTGGCTTCGAAGTTTGAGGACTTCGTAAAGAATTTTTTTTATTTTTTTGAAGAGAATTTGGTGAAGAAGTTTGTAAGGCGTGTTTGGGGGGTTGACAAAGTTGTTGTGCTGTCGCACTCTGTATGGTTGGGAAAGAAATTGCGGTTTTGCCTTCGTTTTCATTTTGCAGAATTTAAAAAGTAAAGTGGTCCATAAGATAATGAAGAACAATGCCATTTTTGCTGTCAGGAGACTCCTGAAATTGTGGAAGTGGAAGTGGACCTCATCTCTGTACATTATTATGATATGAATTATTTATTTTTGTCACATTATTGATCAAATTATATTTATCTAAAAATTAAATTGATTCAATATAAGTGATCACCTAATTAATAAATCATAATAGTTATCCTTTAAGAAAAAATAAAGAACTAGTATAATTTGGTTCTGCAACTGAGTATTGATATTCAATCTGTATGATATTTTGCATGGAACAATAAAATTTAACTAAATCGAACAGTTTTTGAAGTTGTAAGGACTGGATTAATCCAATTGGGATTAGTTGATAAAAGGGAATTATTAAGAGTTTTTTGGTATAATCTATCATAGCATTTTTTTTTTAATTTTTTTTTATCTTTTTTAGTTCACATTATTTTTTTTTATTTTTTTAATATATTTTCATAAAAAATTAAAAAAATATATTTAGGGGTTGTTTGTGATGTCCTAAATAAGTGCACTTTTTGACTTTTTAGATTAAAAAGTTGAAGAAAAAAATATGGTTGTTTAGGTTAACTTTTTGACTTTTTATGAAAATATGTGTATTAAAAAATTGTATAAGTTTTTTACTTTTGATGAATAGTGATAATTTTTAATTTTTTGAATAACTTTTTGATTTTTTGGGCACATGCCAAACTTGGCCTTATTTAAATCATTCCAAACACATAAATATATTTTTTAATTTTTTATGAAAAGATGTAAAATAAAAAATAAAAAAGATAATATGAACTAATAACAAAATAAAAATAAAAAAAGTGCTAATATGTGCTATTAAAATCTTCACTGAGAATGGGTCAATTCCATGGCGAAGGAGGAAGAAGGTACTGGAGAAGTTTTGAAAAGGAGGTTAGGGATTATTATTAGGAAAATGTTTGAGGCTCATAATTTTTGTGATCATAATGGCTTAAAACTGTCAAAATGATATCGTTTTGGGTGCAAAACATGTCAAAATAACGTCGTTTTGACAGTTTTGAGCCATTGTGACCACAAAAATTGTGGCCCTCTAACATTGTTGTTATTATTATTATCCCAAAAGTTCACATGGAAGCCAAAAATCATTTTCTTAACTAAAAAAGAGTTATACTTGTAACATAAATTATGGGTTTTAGAAAATTGATTATTTTTATCAGTTATTTTAATTTTTAATTATTTTAATATGTTAAAATAGTTATATTTGAAAAGAGAGTCGAATTTTTTTTTATAATTAAATGTGATATTTGTAAGTAAAAAAATGAAATGAATATGAATTTTAACTTATTTTATCTTTTAATACTATTTTAGTCCAATTATATGTTAATTGGAATGTGAAAATAACAAAATTATGGTGTGGTATAAGTTTAGAATTCTACCAAGTAATTTTATGACATTTTCAATTACACTCACTTCTCCAACTATAACCTTTTAAGGGGTACATGTGTTTGAAATAAGGGTACTTTTTATATTTAAAAATAAAAAATAACTGACATAAAAAAATTCTATTATTATATTTAACATCTTTATATTGTCAATAAAAGTAAGATAGAAAATAGTATCTCTATATTATGTGGTTCTTAATTGAGTTAATTTTATTATTTAAATAAAGAAAATAATTGTATAAGTAAGATAAGAAGGACAGAGATAATAAAAAAATATGATAGTTTTATGTGAGATTATTTAGGATGAATTATGATTATGTCCTAAAAAGATAAATAATTTTACTCAAATTTTGTGAATTTTAAATTATGAGTTTATGCATTCCTTATTGAAAAAACAAAGATAAAAATAAAAATAAAAATAAAATAAAATAAAATAAAAAAGGAAATTAGGGGGAGTAATATTCTTCAAATTCACTTTTTATTTATTTTTTTATTTATAATAACACTCTCTTCTTCTCTTCTCCAAGTATTCTTACAACCAGTGGATTGGCCAACTCTCTCTCTCTCTCTCTCTCTCTCTATGTGCGTGTGTATATATATATATATTTGTTTCTTGCCTATCCATTTCATTGATTTAAAAAGGAGTGGAACAACCAAGAAAGAGAAAACAAGAGAGTGACCTTTGGGGAGAGAAAAGATTGAACACATCCTCTGTTCCTATTATGTACATGTACATGTACATGCTCCTTCTTTAGATCTTAGTTTCTTCCATTTTTCCACCTAGGATTCACCGTAAATGCTGAATTTTTTCGTCTCTCTCTCTCTCTCTCTCTCTCTCTCTCTCTCTCTCTCTCATCTTCGTCAATTTCTTTTGGGTTTCTGATCCACTTGAATTGTGCTTTCTCAGCAATGTCTGAGCGAGATTCGATTGGTGCATGAACGATCCGATGTTCCTGGATTGAATTCGACTATACACACCTCGTGTTTGATCGGAATCTTCACTCAATTCTTCCTGATTTTCGGATAAGGTACTTCTTTTTCTTACTTCATTGATTTTCTATGTGCATTTCGATCTGCTCGATTGCTTTCGGTTTATAGCTCCTCATCTTATTTCCTTAATTTTTTTGTACAATCTAGATCATATATAATGCAGAAAGGTTTTGCTTGCCAAGTAAATTATAGAAAGAATTGGGCTTTTCCCCCCCTTCTTTTTTGTGTTAAATTTGGAGCACTTTTAGTTGGTTTAATTGTGAGTTTGGGAATATTGATAAATGGGATTGTAGAGAAGATGGAATCAGATCTCTGTAAGCTGTTCATAGGTGGGATTTCCTGGGACACGGATGAAAATCGCCTAAAAGAATATTTTGGGTCATATGGTGAAGTGGTAGAGGCAGTGATAATGAGAGATCGTGCCACAGGTCGTGCTCGTGGCTTTGGCTTTATAGTCTTCACCAATCCTGCTGCTGCTGAAAGAGTGGTTATGGAGAAGCACATGATTGATGGTAGAACAGTAAGTAGTGCAATTTCAAATATTAGTAAGACAATTATGTTTCATTTGTTTTTTTAACTCTCTTTTGTTTTGTTTTTGTTTATGGTTTTTATTTTTCACTTGGTTGCAAATGTATGAATGAGAAACTTTCTTGCTGCTACTCTCAAGAGTGTTAAAGATTCAACTTTTCTTGCTGCTACTCTTATGTAATTGAATGTTCAGTCATTTTTTGGGTTCTCTATTTTCAGGTTGAAGCAAAGAAGGCTGTCCCAAGGGATGATCAGCATATTATAAACAGAAACAATAGCAGCATTCAAGGATCGCCAGGTCCTGGGCGTACAAAAAAGATTTTTGTAGGAGGTTTAGCATCTACAGTCACTGAGAGTGACTTTAAGAAGTACTTTGATCAGTTTGGTATGATCATTGATGTAGTGGTGATGTATGATCACAGCACCCAAAGGCCAAGAGGCTTTGGATTCATTACTTATGATTCGGAGGATGCAGTGGATAGGGTGTTGCATAAAACCTTTCATGAACTTAACAGTAAAATGGTTGAGGTTAAGCGGGCAGTTCCCAAAGAGCTGTCCCCAGGGCCCAACCGAAGCCCTCTAATGGGATATAACTATGGTTTCAGTAGGGCCAACAGCTTCGTTAACAGCTATCCTCAGGGGTATAATCCAAGTTCTATTGGAGGCCATGGAGTTAGGATTGATGACAGATATAACCCAGTTGGTAGTAGTCGTAGTGCGTTCTCTCCATTTGGTCCTCTTGGTTATGGAATGGGTGTGAATTTGGACCCAGGGTTGAGCCTGAGCGTTGGAGGGGGCTCCAACTTCAGTAATAATCTTGGATATGGACCGGTTTTGAGTCCTTATTATACTGACAATTCAAATGGATATAATAGTACTCCTACTGGATATGGTGGGGCAAATGTTCGAAATGATTCTATTTTAAGCCCATCGACTCGAAATGTCTGGGGAAATAGTGGCATTAGTAATAATGCTGCAAATGCTGGTAGCCATAGTACATACTTGGGCTCTAGAGGTGGCAGTTTTGGAGTCTTTGGAAATAGCGGAGCAAATTGGGGTTCTCCTTTGTCTCTTCAAGGTGGTGGTAGTGGAGTCATTGGGTATTCTGTAGGACAAAACTATGGATCGAGGGTTGGGGGATTTGGGAGAAACAGTGGCACAAGTATGTCTGCAACATCATTGTTTACTGCTTCAAATGGTGGTTATGAGGGGTCCTATGGAGACTTGTATCGGAGTGGTTCAGCATATGCTGATCCAAATTGGCATTCTGCATCTTCTGAGATGGGAGACGGTTTTGGTTCATTTGGTTATAGGCTTGGTAATGCAACAGATGTAACAGCTGAAGGTTCTGAGGGTTATATTGGAAGTCATAGCATTGCAAATAGTCAAGCTAACAGAGGTAAGACTCTTCTTCATCTACATTTGGTTTCTATACTTTGTTATTTTTTGTCGACCTGGATGCATCCATGCCTGCCTTTTATATATTATCTTTTTGAAATTTAATTTAGTTCCTTAATAAAATCAAGTAAAAATGTAATATCACAATAAACAAGTTTAAATTGTTTAATTTGAACTTGTCAGAAGAAAAATCTTTTATGGAACTAGCAGTTTATAGGTTGAATATTGGAAACCAGATGTTAAACAATCCTTAGAAATGTTGCTCTTAGTTTTAGGCTCATCATATGATATGTGAGGGGTTATCGTTAAAAACATTCATGCCTAAAAATCTATGATGCTTTCCTTGAATGTGCAAGTGAATATTTGAAAGGATATAGAAATACTAGTTCAGAGAGTAGGACTTCGCTAACTTTAAGAAACTGCATCTTGGATCACCACCCTGCAAAACAAGTTCATCTTAAAATCAAACTTCTTTTTCTTTTTTTCCTCGTGAATTTTGTGGTGAAGTTAGTGAAACCGCATACTAATGAGTTTGTTTCAAAATAAGATCTTAAATAATTTGTCTCTTTACTGTCTTCTTCTTCTTCCATTTTTTTTGGCCTCAAAATGCTCTTTCTCAGTATTTATTATTTTTTGGTCATCACTTGGTTTTCAGGAATTGCTGCATAGAAGACTTTGTTGTTCACATATCAGAAGGTAACAGTAGGTGAAGAGATTGCAGAGAAACATGTGAAAAGACTGAAAACTTTCATACATATACTCTCATAAATTAAGATTATAAGGAAATCAGTCATACAAAACCTAGCTGACAATGGTTCTTGATTTGAAGTATACTCATTCACATCACACAGTGCAATTTACAAAGGATTTTGTGAAGGTTTGATATTTTATTTTTTTTATAACTTGGGTTCCTTTCTTGGCATTTAATTTAGATGAATGAGTTGTGACTCTCTTCTTCAAGATGGTATCACTCTTAGTAATACATAAAATTAAAAAAAAAATAAAAATAGAGCATTAATTCTTTTGATATTCTTGATTCATTTTATTCACTGTAACGTGTGTTGTCCAGATATCGTTCTTCTTTTTCTCTGGGATTTTTTATTTTATTTTTTTGTTTGTTTTTGTTCTCGCTTGGATGATTTTACTAGTGTGAAAGATTAGAGGGATATCCACATAGGACCCCCATTAAATAAAATTACCGAATATCCTGAATTCATTTGCAACTGGGCATTGTGTATTTGACATGCATTCATTTGCTCAAAGATATTTGTTAGCTTCAAAAACTTCACCATTCTAATCACATAGTCCTATACATGCACAAATTTGATTAGGTCAATGTCAACTTATATATAAGCATCTTAAACCATCTACAGTGATGTACATGATCAAAATGGCGAATCATTTTGTCAATAGTTTAAATGCTTTAAATTTTTCTAGCCACGATAATGTTGTGCACTCGATGAGACTCACTCCACAAAGCTAAAAATTCAACTTCAATAGTAAAGAATTACATCATAAACATCCGTCTATCTCTTTTCTTTTTCTTTTTCTTTTTTTTTTTTACAACTATTTATTCAACTAAAAAATTATTAGTAAACACATTAATTTTTTTTAAATTTATAAAAAAAAAATTAAAAAATTACTAAAAAGTCAAATTCCCGAACGGTTAGTTTATTTAAAATTTATGTTATTGTTTCCATAAAAGAAGGTTAATTTGTCCTGCAATCAATATTGGCTTTTTCTTTTGCTTTATTGGATTCCCCAATTCCTCAGTGGGAATAGAAGAAAAACAACACAAGAGAGAGAGAGAGAAAGAGAGAGAGAGAAATGTACAACTTTTAACAGCCTAAAAGTTGAAAAAAGTTTTCTACAATGCAGATGGGACCAAAACAAGCAAACCCATTTCAATATATTCCAGTGTTAAAAGTGATAAAATGAGAGCCCGATGATCACAGATCATGTTAGATCATGAACAAGTTCTGTTGGAGGAGATATCTTATGAAATAATAATGAAAAAAGAATAAAAGATAAAGACACTTATTTTCAGACATCATAACCCCTTGTGAGAGAATAAAGAAGAAAAGAAAATAATTGTAATCAATATTCATGTATATTTATAGAATTGTTGATATATTATTGATGACGGGTATAAACAATATAATCAAGATTTCTGATTAGTTTTAATTATAAAAATATAATTGTCACATCATTTTAATATAAAATATTGCATAAAAATTTAACAAAGAAAAGCATTTTTCTCAAAAAAGGTATAAAGGAATCGAGCACTTGGCGGCAAGATGGCTAAAAAGAATGCCTTCAAAAACAAGTTGAGAACACAATTTTAATAGAAGACTAAACTCAATGCCCTGTTTATATTGTCATTCCACCGAAAAACCAATAATAAATAAATAAATAAAAGCAACAAGGAAGTTCTTTTCTATGGCATATCACATGACATTTAATCAAAGAAACACCATTTGATCCCATTTTTCAAAACCGTCCTCAGACTATCTTCATTCTTGACCTCCGAATTTACTCTGAAACAATGGTTCCTGCTTCTCTCTGTGTGTAAACCACGCTAGCTCTCTTAACCTGCTAAGAGTTCTCACTATACCAATCATGTCAACAAACCAGAATCTCAGAGATCTTCAATGGGTTCTTCAGGCAATCAAATCCGAAAGCATCAACCTGCACAGCATCTCCTTCTACCTCTCTCAACCGAATTCGGGTTGTCACCAAGAAACAGACAACTCCATGAACATAAACATCTCCAAAGACAGCAATTCACGCTTCTCTCACCTCCTCACAGCTCTAGGAACAGCCAAGAACACCAACTCATCATCCCTACGAAACTTGGAGTTTCACCAGGTTAAGTGGGAACGGCAGCAACTACAAAATCTTGGGGTTTTACTTGAGAACAACACAAACATCAAGCAAATTGTGTTTCAGAAAAACAAGTTTAATGTGGAATGTTTATCGGAATTATCAGAAATTCTGAGAAGAAATGGAGTCGTCAAAGAAATCATGTTTTCAGAATCCGGGATTGGGTCGGCTGGAGCTACCCTCATTGCTTCAGCACTTAAGGTGAACAATAGCTTGGAAGAATTGCAGATATGGGAGGACTCGATTGGGTCCAAGGGAGCAGAGGAGTTCTCGAAGATGATTGAAGTGAATCCGACTTTGAAGCTGTTGACAATCTTTGATTCATATTCGATAACAGCAACCCCACTGATTTCAGCAGTTTTAGCAAGGAACAGAGACATGGAAGTCCACGTTTGGAGCGGTGAACACGGCGAAAAAAGTTCCAAAGTGGTTGAATTCGTACCCGAAAACAACACGCTTCGAATATACCGGCTCGACGTGGCAGGGTCTTGCAGGGTTGCTTGTGCTCTTGGGTGGAATTCAACGGTGAAGTCGCTCGACATGACCGGAGTCCGCCTGAAATCACGGTGTGCCAAGGAGTTCCGGTGGGTTTTGGAACAGAACCGGACCCTGAAAGAGGTAAATCTGTCGAAAACTTGCCTGAAGGACAAGGGAGTCGTGTATGTCGCAGCTGGACTGTTCAAGAATCAGAACCTGGAAAGTTTGTACCTTGATGGAAACTGGTTTAGTGGAATTGGTGTAGAACATTTACTCTGCCCCTTGAGCCGGTTCTCCACCCTGCAATGCCAAGCAAACATAACACTAAAGTCAGTAACTTTTGGAGGGGGAAGAACTAAGATAGGAAGGGATGGTCTTGCAGCGATCCTACAGATGCTGACGACCAACCAGAGCGTGACACGGTTGGGGATATACGATGATGAAAGTTTGAGGCCCGAAGATATTGTCAAAATCTTGAGGAGTTTGGAGAGGAACGCCACTTTAAGGTGCCTGTCGTTACAAGGCTGCAAAGGAGTGAACGGTGAGTTGGTGTTGCAGGCCATAATGGAGGCAATACAGATCAATCCTTGGCTTGAGAACCTTGATCTTGCAAGAACGCCGCTGCAGACTTCAGGGAAAACAGATGGGATTTATCAGAAATTGGGTCAGAATGGAAGGACAGAACCAGAAACAGAAACAGATTTGCTCAAGGACATGCCAATGGTGGTGCCCAAGAGCTGCCGAGTCTTCTTCTGCGGGCAAGAATATGCTGGTAAGTTCTGAATTGGTAGTGAAACTGATCTTTGTTTATCATCCTTTAGAACACAGAATTCAGTATTGGAACTCATCAGTCTTTTCATTTCACGTGCAGGTAAAACTACGTTATGCAACTCCATATCCCAGAACTTCAATTCCTCAAAGCTGCACTACATTGATCAAGTAAGAACCCTAGTGAACCCAGTAGAGCAAGCTGTTAAAACAGTAGGAATGAAGATAAAAACTTTCAAAGACGAAGACAAAAAGATTTCAATATGGAACCTCGCTGGTCAGCATGAGTTTTATTCCCTCCATGATCTCATGTTCCCAGGACATGGAAGTGCATCGTTTTTCCTGATCGTATCGAGTCTGTTTAGAAAACCCAACAACAGAGAACCAAAGACTCCGACTGAGATCGAAGAAGACCTCCAATATTGGCTTAGGTTCATAGTTTCCAATTCAAGAAGAGCAGTCCAACAGTGCATTCTACCGAATGTAACTGTAGTCCTCACTCACACCGACAAAATCAATCAACCATCACAGAACTTGCAGGCTACTGTAAACTCAATTCAGAGATTACGAGATAAATTCCAGGGCTTTGTTGAGTTCTACCCAACAGTATTTACAGTCGATGCAAGATCGTCAGCATCTGTGAGTAAGCTCACTCATCACCTTCGAAAGACAAGCAAGACAGTACTCCAAAGGGTTCCTAGAGTGTATGAGATTTGCAATGATCTGACACAAATTCTATCAGATTGGAGATCGGAGAACTACAACAAGCCAGCAATGAGGTGGAACGAGTTTGGTGAGCTATGCCAGGTTCGAGTTCCATCCTTGAGAATTCGCTCAAGACACGATAAGAAAGAGAAGGCAGAGATGAGGAGGCGGGCTGTTGCTAATTGCCTTCATCATATAGGCGAGGTGATATATTTTGACGAACTGGGGATTCTAATCTTGGATTGCGAGTGGTTTTGTGGTGAAGTGTTGGGTCAACTAACAAAATTAGATGTTAGAAAGCAAAGCTCGACAGAAAATAAGGGATTCATAAGCAGAAAAGAGTTGGAGAAGATTCTAAAAGGGAGTTTGCAGAGCCAGATTCCTGGGATGGGTTCGAAGGTTTTTGAGAACTTGGACGCCAGTGATCTTGTGAGAATGATGCTGAAATTGGAACTGTGTTACGAACAAGATCCTAGAGATCCAAATTCACTCCTGCTGATTCCTTCCATTCTGGAAGAAGGTAGGGGGAGGCCACAGAGATGGCAGTTAAACATGCCCGACTGTGTCTACACAGGGCGACATCTAGAGTGTGATGATTCGAGCCACATGTTTCTCACACCAGGCTTCTTTCCCCGCTTACAGGCAAGATTTTTCTTCTTTATTCTGTCTATTTTTCATTATTTGTTTCTTGTGCTTCTCTTACCAGTTTTTAGAAATTGATTATACACGTAAGAAGCAAAAGTATATCATCATTATAGTTTAAGGAGTTACTTAATCACAACTAGTTTTCACGATCTTAAAATTATGAGAATACAATATCAGTACAATAGTATTAAATGGGAATTTTGATACTTCACTGATAAATTTGTGTCCTTAAAAACGATAGTGTATCATTGTCCTTGGTTGTCATCATTGTTGTTGCATACTCTCGATTGGTGTTCTATTTAATTTGTATAATTCAAATCTTACAAAACACACCTTGTTAATGGAAGTTTCATACTACTAAGGTATCGGACATTCGTGTCAAACCAACTAACAATAGAGGCTTATAAGCCACCAGACATGTTACTAAAACTACTAAAAGTAACAATTTTAAAGCAATCATATTTGAGTTGTGACCAAGGTCATTGATTTGCAAACCAGGTTCATCTCCACAACAGAATCATGGGGTTAAAGAACCAACATGGAGCAACTTACAGTCTTGAGAAGTACCTCATCTCAATCAATATCAATGGTATCCATGTCAGAGTAGAGCTCGGAGGGCAGTTGGGTTACTACATCGACGTCCTTGCGTGCTCCACCCATAATTTGACAGAAACTTTAAGACTCTTGCATCAGCTTATAATACCCACAATACAGAGCCTCTGCCATGGTGTCACGTTGACTGAAAACATTCTACGCCCAGAATGTGTCAGAAATCTAACACCTCCGAGATACAGAAAAACCCAATTTGTGCCTCTGCAACAATTGAAAGAGGCACTACTCTCGGTCCCTGCAGAAAGCATGTATGATTATCAGCATACGTGGAGTTCAGTCTCGGACTCTGGCAACCCTGTTTTAACCGCTGGTTTTGATTTTGCCAGAGACCTCCTATCAGATGATGACTTTCGGGAAGTACTGCATCGAAGATATCATGACCTACACAACCTTGCTGTGGAATTGCAAGTCCCACCGGAAAACGACCCAGATGAATTAGATCATGCTACAGGTGAAGAAAAAGTTGATCCAACATTTGGAGGAATTGCCAAGGGGGTTGAACAAGTTTTGCAGAGACTGAAGATCATTGAACAAGAAATCAGAGATTTGAAGCAGGAGATTCAAGGGCTTAGATATTACGAACACAGACTTCTAATTGAGCTTCATCGCAAAGTGAACTACATTGTCAACTACAATGTCCAACTTGAAGAAAGAAAAGTCCCCAACATGTTCTATTTTGTCAGGACAGAGAACTACTCGAGAAGATTGGTTACCACCATGATTTCTGGCATGAATGCAGTCAGGCTGCACATGTTGTGCGAATACCGGCAAGAAATGCACGTGGTTGAAGATCAGTTGGGTTGCGAACTAATGCAAATCAACAACGTGGCAGTGCAGAGCTTGGCTCCGTACATGAAGAAGTTCATGACGCTGCTAACATTTGCTCTCAAGATAGGAGCTCATTTAGCAGCTGGAATGGGACAAATGATACCGGATTTGGGCAAAGAAGTTGCACATCTGGCAGACTCTTCGCTTCTGACTGGGGCAGCAGGTGCAGTTGCAGCTGGCGCTGTTGGGGCTGCAGCTGCTGGACGTATTGAGGGAAGCAGAAACAGAAGCTCAAGGGACATTCACCAAGATCAAAGAACAGCACAGCAATGGGTTATTGATTTTTTAAGGGATCGAAGTTGTTCGACTGGAAGAGAAATCGCTGAGAAGTTTGGATTATGGAGAGTGAGGTACAGGGACAGTGGCCAGATTGCATGGATTTGCAGGAGGCACTTGTACACTAGAGTAAACGAAGTAATTGAAGTACCAATTTGAATTTGTGTTAGTAGTTTATTGGGTGGGGAAGTCTCTCTTTCCTTTTTCTCTTCTTCTTCTTCTACTACTTTTTTTTTTTTTCGTTTTCTTTTTTGGTTGTTGTGGGTTGGGTCAAGAGGGGGATTCAATCACATCATTCGCATTTTATGAATGCCTCAATAATTTTTTCTTTTCAATAAAAATTATCTTCTGCTAACTACAAGACCAGATCTTATCAATCACGATTTCTGTCAATCAGATTTTTTCCAAAAATCATAAAGATGTAACAAATTTACACCATCAGACACAACCAAGCCTGTAACTGAGGAAGTAGATGGAGAAAGCTGGGAGATCTTGAAGCCTCTATAGATGGCCAAAACCAAAATCATGGATGTTTTGGCCTAACCCAAGTTTTTGCCATGAATCTTGTATGCAGGACCGTAATATCATCCATGTAATAATTGCATATTAGTATACAGAGACTTGATTACACAATCACAGACAACAGACGAAAGGAAGCAATTTACATTGCTCATCTTCGCATCATCAAAACCTAGTACCACAAAAAATATATAAAAAACATAATATAACTCCATATACACTAAAAGCAAATGTCATAGTACAAATTTTGTCAAGCATACAAGTCCTGAGTTTTCCATCATCTAAACATCCAAATGTTACAACATACATAGGATAGCACCACATTACATACTACATTATTGACATTAATTAGCACGGGCATTAGTCTTGATTCTAATTCCTAAAGTCACCTGTGTTTCCTCTTCTGACTGGTGAAACAAAAGCTCAGAAGAAAGCCCTACTCCCATAAAACACACGGGAGCTGGTGTTCTTTGATGCTGGTAATTTCTGATCAGAACTTGAACTTTCAGAACTGGTAGGCCCACTCTCAATGTCCATTGGAAGCTTCATCTTAGCCAATGACTCGGTAAATTGCTGCATGCTTTTCATGTACATGTCCACTATGTCCTGTTGCACCACTTCTTGCTTTGGTTCAATGTTAACTGTAGCAACGGGCTTGGAAAATGCATTAACCGCCACCCCGCCTGAGGCTTTACTTTCAGCATCTCCGACATACTCTCTTTTATCCATCAGATTATTCTTTGGAGGCAAAAATGATTCTTGATTTGGAGAATTAGAAGCTCCGGGCGTGACACAGGACTGAGAACTTGCAGGAAGCGATTCAGATGGAGACCCGTTAGTCAACACACTGCTAGGGGGCGAGTCATGATGCTTTGGAAGCTGGATTGGCTCAACAGTGCCAGTTGAGAAGCTTTCAACAACATGTACACCAATTTCTGAACTAGGTTGATTTTCAGGATCTGAAGAGACAAAGCTCTCAGAACTCTGGGAATCCAAATTGGTAAAATACTCTGAAACCATCAGTTGATTCTCATTCACAATCTTTGGATCTGGGAACTCAATCTGGTCAAACTCACTTGACTCAGTTACTTCCGAGTCCTGGAGAACCGTGTTTTGAGCTGTGGAAGCTGGCAGTGCCATCACTTCCGGTGACGCTCCGGTATAAGAGAGAGACAATTGAACAAACCCTGCTGGGGAATGGAAGAGATCAGTTGAGGAGAGAGAGAACTCCTTTTCTAACTTCCCATTCTTGATGACAACTTCAGACAGAGGCACCAAAGCAAACCCTAGCAATTGGTCCTCAAGATAATTCCTCACCCTGCTCAACATCCATATCTCACATTTGAGAAAGGAACCTATTGTCCGAACATCCAGTCGGAGTTTCTCGTTGAAGACCGGATTCTTCCCACCGCCATTGATGATCTGAGTGGAGACTGCATTTTCAGGATCACTAGTAAGGCAAATCTTAGCATAAACATCTTGCTTTTGGTATATGCAGATGTTATGGATGTCCCTGGCTTGATGTATGTAAACATCAAGAACACCAATGGCTTCCTTGATTTGAAGCTCAATTTTCCGGGACAAGCAACCGGGATTCCGAGTGACAGGATCAGCATTCTGCTTCTCAGGCTCAGGAAAAACAGAGGAGCCCTTGAATGGAGACACCACAGATTGAGGGGAATCCATGAAACCAACCAGAAATTAAACCTGGAAAACAAAAGCAAATTAATTCAACTCAAAACCCCAGAGCTTGAAGCCAACAAGAAAAACCAATTATTAAATCAAAATCTTACAATATAACTAAAAAAAAAAACTCCCAGTCCTTTCAAAACAAATACTTTAAGAGATATCGGCTTAACGAAAAGGGGATTTGTGCTTTCAACAAAACTCAAATTCAAAGCTAAATTGAGAACTTCAGTATTTCTTTGAACTCAAAATCCAACAACTGCGAAGTTAAAAGAAAACCCTAATCAAACCCCTAGATAGAATAGACGCCCATTCTATCCAATTAAATCCTAAGAACAAAATTGATGCCAAATTCAGAATCTAGGAACTTAAAACTCTCACCAACTTACCAATTCACAAATCCAAACACCCTAGAAATAGGTGGAATTAAGACAATTTTCAAAACCCAGAAGGCAAAATTGTGGATTTATGGTTCTCTGAACTTAAAACACAGCATAAGAACCAACCACGAATCCAAAAACCTTGCTTGAGCTAAGGTACATGTATAATTTGCAAAATGGCAAAAAAAAAAAACGAAAAGATACCTGTCGGCTGAACTACCCCAAATCCCAGAAACAAGCAAAACCCAAGTTTTAAAAATAGGCAAAACCCACGAACAATTACATCAATATATGAACAGATTCTGATAAAGCAACAAACTTTTACTCATGAAAACACTACTACCACCGGAATCTAAGGGCAAAGAAAGCAAAAACAGTAGCTTAGATCTCACGGATTCCCAAAAACAAACAAGATTTAAACTTGAATCAACCTAAAAGAAAAAAAAGAAAAAAAAAAGAAGCACATTAAATGAACAGAGAAGTGAAAAGCACAAAAGATAAAGAAAAAGGGTTTAAAGGAGTGATATGGGTCAGTTTCTTTCTTGCCTTTTAGTCCAAAGTCAAACCGATTTCTGTAGAATCAGTAGAGCTCAAATCCGAATTTTTGTCGACGATCGAGTTCGTGAATCGAGGCGATTGTTTTGTAAACAATACGATCGCATAAACAATCACTACAATCGGTGAATCGAGGCGCTTTCGAGGAATCACTGGTGAAATGTAAGGTAAGGATAAGAAGGAAGAATGTGAAGAATAAAAAAATCTTGCCGAATTTATGAAGGTGTTGAACCTTGTCGGAAGTCTTTGGTGTTTGTGTAGTATATAGATTATCCCATTTTATTTTCCTTTTTTCACATTATTAGAGAATAAAAGTAGATAGATTGTGAATAGCATGTTCGCATTTTATTTTATTTTATTTTATTTTATTTTGTTCTAACTGTTTATATATATATATATATTTTATAAATATAATTACTCATACGTCATTTGGTAAAAATATATGATATGTTTGGTTTGTGTTTGAGAGATATGTTTTAGAGATAAAAAGTACGAAAAGTTGTTTAGTTTGGTTTTTTTCAAAAGATGTTTTGGAAAATTATTTTGAGAGAGAGTTTTGAAAAAAGTGATTGATTTGATGTGTGTGAGAGAGAGATTTGTTTGGAAAACTTGTTTGGTTTACAAGTTTTGAGAAATTTTTTTGGAAAATTTTTTTGAAAAAATTTGTTTGGTTTGATTACTTTTAAAAATTTATTTGTAGATAAAATTTCTCAAAAATTTTTCAAAAATACAAACCAAACGAACCCATAGAATTTTTTTTTTATAATTTTGAAAATAAATCTCACTCTTTCAAATTTTTAATTACATAACAAATTATTATTATTATAAAGAGTCATTCATATTTTAAACAAATCTCATAAATATATATTTGTAATATATTTAAATTTTTATTTTTTAATTTTTTTTATTTGGTAAGGTTTTTATTGATAAAAATATAATTAAGTCTTATTTTGTTACAAAAATTATTGGTGAGCCATATTAAGGGGTTGTTTGAGATGTTCTAAATAAGTGTATTTTTTGACTTTTTATAAAATATGAGTTGGGTTTGAAGTGATGTGGTAGAGAGATAATATGACTTAAATAAGATGATGTGACTTAAATAGGAGTGACTTTTTAACTTTTTGACTTTTTTAAAATATGAGTTGGGTTTGAAGTGATGTGGTAGAGAGATAATATGACTTAAATAAGATGATGTGACTTAAATAGGAGTGACTTTTTAACTTTTTGACTTTTTTAAGAGATGACAAATAAGGCCTAAATTTTAATACGAACAAGGGTTTGTTTGGGAAGTAGATTGGCTTTTTGAATTTTTTGACTATTTTAGTTTAGGGTAAAAAAAAGCCTGGTTTAGAAAGGGTTTTTGGCTTTTTAAACTTTTTTGTGAGAGCAAAAATGTAATGATTATAGGTTGAATGTGATATTTTGTCTTATTAGGTTAAAAAACTTATTTTATTTTTTAAGACTATTTTAACCAAAAAAAGCCCAACTTTTGACTTCCGAAGCCTAAATTTTATTTTTCATAATTTATTACTAAAACATTAATCTTCATAAGAGTTGTATAAATATGAATAAGAATTGTATAAATAATTTTAATTTACTTAAAAATAATATTTTTAATTGTAAAAACTAAACAACTTATATCAAACAAAATTATAAACAACTATTTAATCAAAAAATTATGGAGAGACAACATAAAATGATAAATCCTATGCCTATCTTTTTTTAATAAAATTTGTTTATTTTTAAAATTAAAAAAATAGATGGATTGTATAATTTTGAACATAATTCTTTATTTTTTTTTTCTCAAACAAATATAATTCAATTAAATAACTATCAATGAGTTATAGAAAAATGAGAGTCAGAAGGAATACAAGTTAGGCGGTAGCAAGAGAGGGATTAAAAGAGTTATCGTAGTAGTTGTAGATGTGCCAATGATTGTTGAATGCAGAAGAGGTAGTGGTTATAATAGAGTGTAAAATTGAGATTTAAACGATTATAAATGAAAATAAAAAGTTCAAATTAAATAAAATACCGAACAATAATTTTTGGGGTGGACTTAAAAACTCCCATCTTTCTTAGCCTTCGTTTGGGAAGTGGGTTGGCTTTTTGACTTTTTAACTTTTTTAGGCTATTTTAACCTGGGCTTAAAAGTTTGGTTTGGGAAGGGCTTTTTGGCTTTTTAGCTTTTTTGAGTTTTTTGTGAAAGAAGAATGTAATGATTATGGATTGGATGTGATGTTTTGTTTGTTATGGCTAAAATAGCCTATTTTGTTTTTTGTGGCTAAAATAGCGAAAAAAGCCTACAAACCCACTTGCCAAACACAGGCTTATAAAGTCCTACGACTTATTCCAAAGTCCCCCCTCCAAAAATAAATAAATAAATAAATAAAAATCATAGACTAAGATTAAGTTTGGCGTGTCTTGAAAAAGACAAAAAATCAAAAAGTCACTATCCTATTTAAGTCACATCACCTCTCTAATACATCACTTCAAACCCAACTCAAACCCAACTCATATTTTATAAAAAGTCAAAAAATATACTTATTTAGACCATCCCAAACAATCCCTAATTATGGTGGGTCACTTGCTCTTTAATTCCAAGTATGTTGAAGGTGTCAGTGTACAAATGATCCTCAACTACTCCCCTTTGAAAATGTACAATACTCCAAATTAGTCTTTTAAGGATATGGCCCAGTGGTGTTTCTCATAAATGGACCATTATACTTTTCTCAATTGGGCCAAAGTGTAAAACTTTATTTGTTTATTTATTTATTTTATTTTATATTTATGGTGATAAAGATTTTATTTTATTTGTTTTCATGATGATAAAAATGGATTTAATCACATAGCCTGTTGAAATAATTGAGGATTAAAAAACTTTGGGAGCTAAAAGCAATAACAATTACCACCAAATATCCCCCAAAAGCTTTTGAAGGGACTTTTACAACTAATTTCTTCTAATGTAATCAATAAAATTATATATGGAATTATAGATATGTTTGATTTTGACTTTTTAGCTAAAAAAATATAAAATATAAAATTAACTATATAAGTCAATAAAACAAAATGTCACATTTAAATCATAATTATTATATTTTTTCTCTCACAAAAGTCAAAAAAATCAAAAATAAAAATCAAACGAGATTAAAAAATACAAACTAAATTAGTCAAAAAATTAAAAAATCAAACTATTTTAACTCTTTCCAAATCAAGACATATAGTGTAGTTTCATTATTGTTTCAAATTTTGAAAAACTATTTTAAGAAGGATTAAAGTCAGATATATACGTTGAAAAAAAAAAGAAGAAGAAATAGATATGTTTGATTTTGACTTTTTAGCTAAAAAAATATAAAATATAAAATTAACTATATAAGTCAATAAAACAAAATGTCACATTTAAATCATAATTATTATATTTTTTCTCTCACAAAAGTCAAAAAAATCAAAAATAAAAATCAAACGAGATTAAAAAATACAAACTAAATTAGTCAAAAAATTAAAAAATCAAACTATTTTAACTCTTTCCAATTCAAGACATATAGTGTAGTTTCATTATTGTTTCAAATTTTGAAAAACTATTTTAAGAAGGATTAAAGTAAGATATATACGTTGAAAAAAAAAGAAAGAAGAAAAAGTCACAAGCATTGTCACAATTCTCCAACTAAAAAAGGTGTCCCGCAATATTTCCGTCCGTTTGATTTGGTGTAGTAGCTAAAATAAATTATAAATTATGATTTTAATAAAAAATTATTAATTTATTTTGTATAAGTGTTAATAGATTTAAATTAATGAGTAGTATTTATTAAATAAGTGTGAATAGGGCTGCAAACGAATCGAATCGAGCAGAGCCGAGTTTTGCTGAGTTCGAGCTCGACTCGTTTGCTTATCGAGCTCGAGCTCGGCTCGATGAGGAACTGGGCTACAACTCGGCTCGGCTTGGCTCGTTAATTTTAGTGAAATTCGAGCTAAGCTCGGCTGGATAATTTTTTTAATATTATTTTTATTATTTAATATATAAAAAATTGTATTTATATTATTATTTATATATAAATACATTATTTATATACTAAATAAGTTGTTTTCGGATAGCAACTTTAGTTAATAATTGACAAGTTTCTTGTGGTTTACTTAAAGCATAAATTTGTTCAACAGTTTTGACTTGTAAATCAACATTAAAAGTAGACTGTAAAAAACTAGTTTTATAAATTTCTTTAGTTTTTACTTTAGGGATATTCCAACCTAAATCAATTTTAACATCTTGATATTCATGTTCTTCTTCATTTAATACCAACTCTGAACTAGGTATAGGAGCAAGAGTTGTAGATCTGGAGCTAACTGAAGAATTACTTCTGAATAATCGACTCACTATGATTTTATAAAATTAAATCTAATTCCAAAATTCAATTATAACTTATCATGTTTCCTCATACGGTGTATTCACTCATACCCTTTCCGGGAACCCCTATATCCTACAACTGCCTAATCCTAAGGACTTACTCTAGATTGGGACGAAAGGTGGGTTAAGCAAGAATAAGGAAACTGGAATTTAATTGAAAAAAATCAAATGAGAAGGTTAAGCAGAGATAATAATTCAACAATAAGCACTTATCAACAACTTAGCTTTGATATCAAAAGAGACGGAAGTAGGAAGCAACACTAAATAAACTAAATAATAATAAGTAAAGTATTGTTTACTGAAATAAAACTTACATAAAACTTATAATTGTTTACTGGAATGAAGCAAACAGTTCTTGAAAGCTAATTTGAAAAATATAACATCACAGGGATAGCTATTTTTCTTGAGGAATGAGCACTCGAATTTTTTTCTAACTCTGCCTTATTCTTGACTGAAGAGGCTCTTTTATAGACATAAGGGGTTTATTGTGAGCCTTGTGAGGTTTACTAACTGAAAGAGGCACATGGGAGCCAGTTGCAACTTTCAATGAGTGACAAAAAGTGATGGTTGCCTTTTATTGTTCTGAATTTGTCGGTTGGAAGCATTATGATGAATGATGAATAGTAATGTTGACTTTTTGATGAATAGTGAACAGTAAATTTGACTTTTTTCACTATTCATTGAAGGCATGTGACTAGGGAAATCAATATAGATATATATATCAGCAGCTTTTCTCAAAAGAAGAGTATTGATTGAAACTGATAATTATAGATATATAGAATCCAATGACTGAATTAAGCATATAGGCCTGAGCATCTTGGAATATCTTGGAACTGGGGCCCATAAGGATCCTAGTTAGTTG